TATAGTTGTTAATGTATTTTGTGATGGATTTGATTCAATTTTTAAATTACTCATATGGTCGAGATAGTTATCCTCAAAAGACGCTTTCATTTGCATTTCATTATCATGACAAGGTTCCTTTATACATATATATRTTTGTTTTTATATTAGATTAGTAAAACATAAAAAATAATTTATTAAATCTACGAATTTTCTTACCCAGGGATATACAACGCATTGTTCTTCAGTGTTAGATATAATTTTAGAGTCCATATTTTAACTTTATTTCCAAAATTATTTGTGATACAAAATAAAAATATTTAAAACAATTTAAATCAACAGTGATTGCACTAACCAAAAGTTATAACATAAACGTTTCCTAAGAAATGGACGATATCGTAATAATAATAGTAATAATAATAATAAACACCACATGTTACTATGATAATATGTAATAATATTAACATAGAATACAACGATATTTTGAAGAAATATTTATTCATAAAATAAATGTGAATTATTATACGATCATAATGTTTATTATTTTATAATGCAGAGTAAAATGATTGGTTTAAAAAAAATTGATGAATTATTAAATCTTGAAGGTAAAAATAAAAAAAACCTAATAGACGCCAAACTAAATACTCAAACAGTAAATCGTATGAGTGAAAATAATAAACGTCAAGAACTGCTTGGAACACTAGTGGAAAAGTATAACAACAGAATCGATAAAATACACCGGCAAAATGTTAAAAATAATCACAAAAAGTTGGAAGCCAACTATCAAAAATCAGAGCGAATTCAACAAAGATTACAAAATCACATAATACATGAGAGCTATAAAAATAGAGAAAAAATACAAATTATTAAAGATAAACATATGAAATCACAGAAATTATTGGCTGAGAGAGAAGAAATACGGCTTTATGAAAAGAAAAAAAGAGATATTGAACGTTATAACAATAAAGTTGAGTATCAAAATATTACATTATTAAAAAATCAACAGTTAATCGACAAATGTTTAGAAGATGAAACAGTTGAAGATTTTAAAAATAGTGACCAAGAATTGTTCACAGAAAACGAAGAAGAAATGAATGATGAACCGGCGGCAGAAATTTCTGCAGAAGAGTGTATCTCATATTCTGATCAATCGGTAGTAGTMAATTATTTTTTGTTAACTTGACTAAGTTACCTATTCATAATTTAATCGTAATTAATATTGAAACTATCAATTACAATTTTGTTTTTGTTTTATTTTAGAAATTAGAAATGATTTATAACCAAACAAATTTGGATAATGTTCGAGTTTATTTAGAAAGAATTGCAATGTTAAAAAATAATTTCAATAATTGCGAGGCTGGTAGACATTTTCTACAGAAGATCGAACCTATTTGGGACTCGCTCACACAATGTATTTATAGGAAATCATTAATTCTGGAAGATATGGCTAAAAACTCAGATAATACAATGCCCGAAGGTTTTAGAAAAATCTATGAAAAAACAAGTCTTAAGGATGAAAAGAATGTGGCTAAACGTACCTTAGGATTGGATACATCGTTTTTGGAAATCTTAATGACTGGTTAGTAACCTAAGATTTAAGAAAAAATAATATAAATTTTTTATATTATAAAAATTAGGTGTATTTTGACAGAATTTAAATCTTAATATTAAATTTTTTTCTCAAGCTCATAATTTGACATTTTCAGTTTAAAATACAAGCAATCAAAATTTTACTAGCAATTTAGTAAAATTAAATTATGGAATAATATGTAACAGAAATTTTTTTATTTTATTTTAAATACTGTTTAAGTATTTATGTACGTATGAGTATTATAATTTTAACATATTATTATTTTAAAATTTATGAACAAAAGAAAGTTTCTTAGCCATTTATATTGCATTAAATTTAAATGTCATCTGATTTTATAATGAGTTACATAATTTATAGATTTGGACTATGAACTCAGCGATGATGATGTGTATAATGCAGTGACTAAAGCTAAAGGCTTTATTGATAAATCAACGACCGCACTTGAAATAATGAATTTAGTTAAGTTTATACTAGAACATGAAATAGATGTTAATGAGAATGTTTCGTATATTGTTAATGGTATATGCAGAAGAACTGTTTTTGAATATACAAAAAGACGAATGAGTTGTAAGCTAACTTATATGATTGAACTATTTAAACATTCATGTAATGAATAATATAATTGTGTAGACCGGATGCTGGGACGTTCAAAAAATACAATTAATAGGCTCCAGTTTTTAAACACTATCAATTTGATACCAAAACAATTTTTAATAACAAAAAATAGTGAAAAATACGTGGAACCGATAGTTTTTGACTTTCTGACGAACGATAATAAGTTTGGCTATTTAACCACAGAGGAGGAGACAATTACAGAACATAACATGTATCCAAATAATACTATAAAGAGAATGGAAGAATTTTTACGAAAGTTGAATTTTTGCTATATTAAAAACATTGGTAATACAAAATACGAAAATTTAATGGATAATATTTTCGAAATGCCTGAAAAATATTGTCTTGAAAATGTAACAGTGCAGATTTCTAATTCCGATATAGGTACTAAATTATAATATTTTATATTGTGTGTAGCACGCTGATATCCAAGTTGACAGATTAATGGCATTTGTTCACAAACAACTAGCATCTAGTTTGTCGGGAAAATCGTATACACCTACCTTTCATAATATAATAGATGTTGAAGAATTGACCTACACAAAATTTAATATACTTGCTAGAAAGATGGCAAAGATTATGTTCGGAATGGGTGGATCTTATGAAAAAAAGATTTATGTTTTGGAAGTCATTATGAAAAATATTGTCATCGAGATAGCAAAGAGATCGCCYAAAGTTAATTACAATCGTAAAAATAAACATAAAGTCATTRCCAAGAAGAAGGAGATTGATATGGCATTTTTTTTATCAAACTCMTAATATTATTTGAAAATTATAATKATATATTTATAAAGCACTATAGTCTAGTGTTGACTGTATTAAAAATAATTTTCGGGTATTACAGTATTGATTTCAATACCGGTTTGAAACGGTATACTGAAAAAATCAAAGTGATTCGGTATACCAAAATAATAAATAATATATACCTAGTACTGATTAATTTTACTTTAATATTGTTTCATAATACATAATATATACTAAATAGAATCTATATTAWTGGCAATTTTACTAGAAAAGTTGCAAGCACTAAAACTTGCTCTAATAATTATTATATACATCAAATTAAATTGATTTTAACGAAATGACTCTACTTTCCTTCATTTTTTTTTTTTTTAAAGTGTAAGTATAGGCAATAGGTAATTATAGCAACATATAATTGGATTTTTTAAATTGTCTTTACCGATCAAAATCTATATGTATAAACTACATGATTACATAAATATGTATTTTAGATTTTGAGCAGAGCAATGCATGTATTGATTTATAGTTGTTGCGTTGGGGAAGTCAAATTTTGAAATTTCTAGTAGTTTTCAAAAACACCGGGAAAATCATTAAAAACATAAAGGAAAAACGAGAATTTTAACGCAAAGTCAATTTTTGAAAAAGTCGATTTTAGATATTGGTGTTACTCTAAAACAAAATTTGTTAATAATTTATATTAATAACCGTAGATATATGAAATTTTCACTGAATGTGTATACTGAAATTTCCTATACTTGATACAATTTTCAAAATATTTCAAATCTTTTAAAGTTATTTATAGACATTTGAAATTTTCAATCTTTTTAGTTTTTTTTTTTTATAAATGACAATACAATTTTAATCGTTTAGTAAAAAGCTTCAATATGTAATACGAGGCTCCTAATATATTGTCACAACGAAAAAAACATTAAAAATACATGATCACAATTATTTTTGATAAGCATTAAAAGTTTGAATTTTGACAAAATAAGCAAAAATCACAAAAATTTGCAATTTATTTTGATTTAAAAATTCATAAAATTCATCTTTTTAAATTTAAGATTTGAAAATTCAATACAAGATTCTTCATGAGTTTATTTACTTTTATCAAATGAAAAATGTTTACTGGAAGTCGATTAAATTTTTATTCACTCAATTTCTCTTGTACCGGTATTCTTTATTTGTTGTTATTCAAAAACGAATTAACTGTAGAAACTTGAAATTTACACCATATATGTTTATTTTATCAATTCCTATACTTAATAAATATTTCAACAATTTTTAAGTTATTTATAGACATTTGAAATCTTCCATTTTTTTAATTTTTTATTACATGTGGTATACCGTTTAACAAATTAATTTCTAAAGGCAAGTACCTATACCGAAATACCATCAGTCCTATTAGTCTATACTATTTATTATTTATACCACTTATAAAAATCAAGTTCGAAAAATGTGCTGGATGCTACATCTAGTATCAAAGTTATTATTTTTGTGATGCTAAAATATTTAAATCCCCTACACACATAACCAAATACTATTAGATTACATGATATATAATGTATATAAAACGTAGTCATAGTAATAATAAATGTAAATTAATGATATTTGTTTTATCAATCGTTATAACTACATACTTATAGTTTTCTATACGTCGGTACTCTAGAGACTATTGATTAAAAATATAATTTAAAACTTATTTAATTTCTGTATTTGTCTAAGTATGAAAGAACATAAAAAAACTGAGATCAGCCAAATTGCAGCACAGAAAAAGATTAATGATCAGATATCTACTGATGTTCGTTGTATTGATATGTGCAAAATGCGTCAGAACGCGGCCAATGTGTCGTTGTACAGACGTATGCATTTAGAGTCAGAAGAGGAAGAGATGTTCACGAATATACAAAAAGTTTAATTTGATTTATTAAAAACCAATAAACAACTCGAATAACATTTTGTATTTTCAGGCTAAAGAAGCTCAGGCCAGACAAACTGCCGAGTTGGAACAAGAGCAAAAACTTGCTCAAGTGATGGCAGATTTAAAGCGCCAGGAAATTGTCGAAATAAAAACCAAGTTATTTAATATTTTAAATCATGTTAATACTAAATTWAAAAAAAAAACTTATTGTTTTTCGTAGTCAGTTACTTCAAAATAATTCTCACGAACATCGACATGCAGAAAAGGAATTACGAACGGCCTATTTAAAAAAAGATTTAATGTGTCAAATAAATGAAAATGAAGCTTTAAAAAAAGAAGAGAGAGTCAGAATATATTATGATGATTTGAAAATGATAGAAACGAGAAATGAAGAAGATAAGAAAGAAAAAGAACTACAAGCCCGACAAAATGAACTCAAGTTAGATTATAAGAAGGCGATCACAGAACAAATGCAGGAAAACACCACCAAAAAACAACAAGTGTTATTACAAAAGAACAGTCCTTTTGTGTTTTTTGAAGCAACCGGAAGTAGTGAAGTACAAAAAAATAATGTTAAAAAGAATTGTCCTCAGAAAGAACTAGAAGAATATAGAAAAATTAAAAGTGAGCTAAAGGAAATTGAACGCAAAGAATCCGATAAAACAAATAAGTAAGAATCCGATAGTAGAAATAACTGCAAGGCTCCATTAATACAAGTTAAAAGTTACTTTTAACTAAGTTAAATAAGGAATTATATTTTTTTCCATGTTATTTAGTAACTCAAGTACTTATGTAATTATTAATATTTTTCAACAGTTATTATATTTACTTATGGTTATGGGTAACCAACTTGTATTACATTTTCAAGGTTTTTGCCCCGATAAATACAATTTTATTGACATTTATAGAATAAAAAAATTCAAAATTCAAACGTTAATAAATTATTTAAATTAAACTTTAAAAAAGTTTAAATATTTCGAAAAAATTTCGGTATATGAATAGTTGACAAAACAAACATATAGTGTAAATTTTAAATTTCTATAAATATTCGTTGTTGAATAACAAAACTATCCAATGTTGATTTTGCCAAAAAATTCCCGTTTTTTCTAAATTTGAAATTTTTTTTTTTTGGCGCTTTTGAAAACTACTGAGAATTTCAAATTTTGATCTCCTTAACGCAACAACTAGATTCACTTTCCCACCGGTAAAGCTATTGTTACTAAAGTTGAAAATCGAAGTATTATTATTTCGACTACTTATTGTGTACCAACAAAGATACAGATAAAAACACATCATTGTAAAATCAATACATACATCGCTGTGTTCAAAATCTAAAATATAGGTATAACTGTTAATTTTTATGGAAAAAAATTAACTTATATCTAACTAAGCTGATTGTTTTTTTTAAATTAACTTTTAAGTTGTACCGACTTAAATTAAAATGAAAAGTAACTTCTAATTTTAAATTTTACTTAAGTTTGTCTATATTAACTTAACATAACTTACGAAATAACAAAATCAGTTACTTGCTCAGTCTTGGAAATAAGTAAGAATCCGAGTAGACTTGTCGACTCGTAAATAGTTACTCCGAGAAGACATTTTCTTGAGTAAGATTCGAAATATTTTTTCTGTTGTTGTACTGTATCATAATAGTATTTATGTATAGCCGTATAGAAGAGTATGTGATAGAAATTGATAAGCGTAATAAACAACAGGAAGAATTTAAAAACCAGAAGAAAGAAGAAAATGACCGAATATATAAATGCTTAGCTGATAATTTAACATCCTTAACGGTAAATAAAATTCGATTGGCAAATTCAAATTAATGATATAATACTACTGAAATTATTAATTTTAATTACAGTATAATACATTATTTTTAAAATGTATAAATGCAAATTTWATTTTTGCAGTCAAACACATCGAAAAAAATGGAAATACAAAACAAACTTATACACGAACAACACCGAAGTACCACTTTGTCGGCAGAGAAAAAAGAGAACGATCTGAAAATTCTGAAACGGGACAATATTTTGAAGCAAAATGAAATGCAAATAAACATTAAAAAAGAGAAGGAGAAAGCAGAGAAAGACAAAGATTTTGCTCTGGACAAAATGGTATCAGAAAAAATTATTAATTATTAGTATTTAAAAACCATATACTATTTGATGTCACAGTTATTGAAAAAGAATCAAATATTTAACGAGGAAGAGGAGAAAAAAATTGCTGAAAGACGACAACAAATGATCAATTATGGAAAAGAATTAAAAACTTCGATCGATCTGAGACAAAAACAGAAAAAGGTTGTGATGAACTACGAATAAATGGACCACATTTTTGACGCGTGAACGCGTAGAACTTCCCTTATAWWATAATAAAATATAATATTTACAAAAAGACGTTTACAGCATATTATTATTATTTGACTTACTCAAAATTACTAATGGGCGTAGGAAGGGTGGGGAAGGGGGAGCAATTGACTCCCTGCGCCTCAAACTGGATTCTATTTTTTTTATACCAAACATGTAAGTTTTACATTAAAATCAAAATATTAAACAAGATATGTCTAAAAGTAGTTAAGTGGGACCGATTGTAATGAATAGGTGCGTGTATTCGTTAAGTGCGATAATGTCAATATTAGAGGATATTATTCCAATAACTTTTTAAAAACGCATACCTACTATTATATAGTGCAGAAGTACTGTGATCGCGTAAATAAACCTTAAAGAATTAAATTTAAATTTAATATTATTGTACAGAGTACACTACATATTATATTATTTTGGAATAGTAAAATTTTCATGACACGTCCTAATACGTACTCGTATGACATTTTTTTCTATTTTACAACTTAACTGTATTTGTTAACCATGTATGGTTATAATTGTTTTGACTAACTATAGTGTATAATGTGTTGATGGTTCAACATAGCTAATGCAATAGATAATTTAATTCAAAACGAAGGTATCCATGAAACGAAGCTTGTTGGGCAAGGCTATGATGGTTGCGTAATCATGGCAGGGAAGATCAATGGGGTGCAATTAATTTTACAAGCCTAATATCCACATAATGCTCTATTTTTTCACCGTACAAGTCATAAATTAAACTCTGAAAGTCAGTGACTTAAATTGTGTCGCAAAAAAACCTAACACAATTTCAACAGTAAACGATTATATTATAAATTTTTTTCGTGAATCTGATTTACGTAGAAAATGTATGCCAAACACACCAGCATTCTGTGAGACACGATGGTTTCAAGAATATAGAATTATTTCAATTTTCAAAAAAAATGTCGAGATAACAAKTGTACATGTTTTAGACAAATTGTCAAAAGATGAGAATACGGTAACAAGAAAAGTTTCTTTTCAATTGCAATTCCTAGATTTATTTATATATTGATCTCTAACGGAAATTAAGACTGAGTTTTTGTTACCGTGTATTTACTCTAATTTCTTCTACATCTAAAACCGTTGTTCCATAAACTCAAATRTTACTAGCGTGAAAAAAAACACATTGGATTAGATCAGAAGAATACGGGAGGTACAGGACCACAAGTATTTTTTATCAGCTAAAAATGCACAAATCGACAACTTTGAATGTCGTTTTGAAGAAACCCGTTTTCGGTTTGAAAATTGTATAGGTATTTTAAACAAATTTAAGTTCAAATAAAAACTTTTTTTAGATGGGGAAAATAAGTAGACCGATGATGACATTTTAAATTACTAGTTCCAAAAATAATTGTATCTATATACATACCTAATAACATTACGTGATCTACGTCATCTTTTATTTTAAATTGTATTATAAATTGAAAAATAAAAACAAATAAATAAATATAATAATTAATAAATAATCATTGATATTAAGTAATTAGCGAAAATTTTTATATTGAATAGTTAAATAAATTTTGTGTTAAAACAAAAACTTATAAATAATCCAATATAAGTTCAGCTATTTAAAGTATTCAAATGGTTCGATACAAATATTGTATATACTTAGATTATACATATTATATAGTTCCATCACGTTAGTTCGAAAAGTTTTTACTGCGTAAATAACTAAAACAACTTTTCACACACAACTTCCAAAGTTCTTAAAACCATTTGTTATTCAAGAGTTATAATTTTTTGTTTATATTGTACGTTTTTCGCAGAATGGCAGACATGAAAAAAGAACAGATAACTATTGTTAAACAACATATGGAAAATCTCGCAGGATTTTTCCCACCAGCCGCAAGAGATCAATATAATATGAAATAAGAACACTAAATATTTGATAATAGTACCTAGGTATACAATATAAATACTATTTAGTAATACACGAACTATACCTATCATATTATAGGATATTATGATACTTACCTATGTATTTAGTTTAAGACATGTAACAATTAAAATATACTATCATGATAACAGCATACTTCATTTTTATTTTTGTTTTTTAGGTGTTCTTATAAAACAGTATATACATGCAAGACATTTTAAACATACYGTATACAATATATTAATATATGTTTTTATCTCTCGCCTCATGATCCWTCAGAGGACGTTTAAAATATATCTATCTGACGGATGAATATAAAACTATTTGATACCTATCAACCTATTTTCAGCCCAATTATATTTTATGAACCAACTCGTGCCATTATACAGTTTTAGATGGAMATATGTGACTAGTCAATTTTATTTACGTTTACAAAATAAAAAAGCATCCAACATAACCTTATAGTATAGGTATTTAATAGTTTTATTTTATATCAATACTAGAACTATATGGTATAACCTACGCGCACGTATGTGTTTCACACTGTTATATGCTTGTGTTATTGGAATGTTGGCTACACTATCGTCAACGGAGGCAACGGGAAAATTGTTTTTAAACGAAAAAGAAAAACGTCAAGAATCCGAATGTTGCCGCGATAACGTTCTTCAGCGGAAACCAATTTAAATGTAAATTATTATTTTATGAAGCTGCCCGACGCGGTTCTATTTTCAAGTCACCAAGATAATTATCCTTTAAATATATACACAGGTAGGAGCTCAGTAAAAAAAAATAAAAATCGTATAAACGGCGTGTGTATAGTAATATATGCCACCACATGTATATACATTGACAAGTCGACTGCTGTGCACAGGTAAACGAACCGTGCACGCTACCGGCGTACGTACGCACCCTGCTGCGAATCCTCGGACCTTTTTTCGTATTAAAAATAAAATTGAAATCTCTGGGACACGCGTGTTTTGATCTGAAATCTTTTACGCCTCCCCCCCTCCCTATTCCTGTGCGCTAAATCTGGGAATGACCATGTAGCATATCAGTGTGTGTTTGTTATTGTCAGCGTAGTTTATATACAATACATGTGTGTGTGGAGYTACTACAGAGTTTTAAACCTTTTGTGGGACCATGATAATAGTTATAATAATATACCCTTGGCAATAATAGTAATAATATTATATTATACGGTAAAATATTATACGTACTTAAGAAACCGGGCCAGAGGTTTACCACACACGAAGACAGGGCTCYGACACACTATCTCTAGCTGGTTTCACAGGACTAGTGAAAACGGTTACACTGGTGCGTTAACCGGACTGCTATTTTCGAAATTGAAATTTGTTATTTTTTTTAYTTGATAAATTATCAATTATTATTATGTTTGTCATTGATATATTTATTTTCAAAACAATAATTTAATATGAATTAGCTCCAAATGACACTCAGACAAACACCTTAAACTTAAAAGTTGAATGGACATCGGAAGTGCAATGTTTTTAGATTGGAATGAGCTGAAAAAAATGGAAATATGAACGAGGTAAAAAAATAACATACAGATATTTATAATAAAAATGAAATTTTGTTGACCCAAAAAATTCCTTACCAAAAATGCTTTAAAATTTTAAATCGTATAAGGTTTCAATGATCAAAATAATTTGTAATTAAGTAATACGTACTTTCCTAATCAAAATCATAAATTATAAATAAAATTTGAATGATGAATACCTAATTATTTTTGTGATGTTAAATATTGCTAACATTTATCTGTTGTATGTTAAAATTTATTTTGAAATCTAAATTCATATAAATTATTTTTACTATCGACATCTCATTTCATAGTTAGACCAAATCCTACTGCAAAGACCACCTAGCATATCGGAGGTATCATAAATCATAATACATAATTATTATTTTCAACAATAAATTGAATCGCCATCACATCGTTATTAGGTAMACGAGAAATATAGTTTACTGATAGACCATAATAAGGTGGGTAAAAAGGGTGTACATATAACTGTGTATATAGCACTAGCCATATCAATTTTTTTCGCTGTACGAACATTATATTACATTTTACGTTCGTTTTCTCCGTCTGGTAGATTATAATGTTAATATTAATCATTATTAGTAGTATTATACACCACGTGCAAATATGAAACCGTACGCTTACTATCCGTATATAGATCCGAAACGGATGCTGAATGCTTTCTAAACAAATACAAACAGTCAGTAATCTGGTAAGTATAAYAATATTATACCTTCCTTTACCTAATACTTACATAGCGATCGCGCGATGTCTATACGAAATCAGACTGTAGTATCATACGTAAATATTACATTGTATGTTTTATACGAGTGGAAACTTGAAGTTAACGATCGCGCAAACAAACGGATATTATTTCGTAAAACGCTAATGTCAGCAGCCACAATTGTATATATTGGGATGAAACGAGGTCGTTATACGAGATCACGCGGAACAGCGATGACTCGAATGTCGTTTACACATTGGAAGGAGACTAGGAACTCACAAAATTGTCAAAAGTTCATAAAAATGTATATATATATATGTGTGTATTATTATGAATATATATATATATTTAAATATGTTACAAGTTGTCGAAAATTTAAATTACTTTCTGTAAAGTACAAGTGCCGCTCGCGTATCCTTAAAATTATAAAATTGTTTTTTTTCTTTTTAATAATAATCTGATTAGGTGRGTAGGTGCATAATAGCAACATGCCTAAAGTATAAAGTAAAAATATAAATACATGGAAACTGATAGCCAGTAAGAGAGAATGAGTRGACAAGAGAGACAGTTTACAATTGGACAATTTGTTTTCCAATTATTATAATCATGATGGTAGGTTTTGGTTATGCCACCAACGTGTTAACGATGCCAAAAAAGTCAGTATGTACTTAGTTTATACATCACACRTAAACGATAGCAAGCAAATAAATATTTTACTGAATTTCATTACACGTTATTTTTCGTGATGGTTAACTATATAACCGAAAAACCATCCAAACTCGGAAACTCATGCAGTAACGCGCGCGGAATTAACACATAAATGAARKCGACATGGAACGGGTTACGGGTCTACTTAATATTGTTTTATATTATATACACGATGGTCGTATAATATAATAGACATTTTTTAAATCGTTGTTTATAAATTCAATACCCGYGACATGTGTAACAACATAACGCAGAATTATAATATATTATACAATATCACACACATACATAATTAATATACATTCATATATATATATATTTAGAGAAATAAGTAAGCGCGCGCGAGTGTGTGTATGTATTATAGCCGACCACTTCAAACGGTCGCGGCGTTTGGTAGTTTTATATTTTTATGTGCGGCATCATTGCCGTATCATATTTTTGAAACGCGCCCGCACAGCGTGGCATGCCATATATAAGATAATGCATTATCTTATATGACAGCCCGTGTGAAGGCTCGTTTGTATCCTATATAAGTATTTAATATAATATTATATGTATGTATGTATATTGTATACATTTTGCGTTACGTAAGGAGACGAGAAGACTGCCCTATGATGTTGTTGTACCTGTACATGTGACGAGTGTGTCAGCCGTGTAGCCCCACTTGTTGCGGCGGCAACGAGGTCTAATATCAAAAAAATCGATATCGATTAATATCCCCAGTTGGCATTATAAACTTCAGTTTTATACMTATTTCGTCTACATATTTTTTTACGGCATAAGACTTAGTGGTCCACGCGACTGTGTCATCAAGGTTTGAGTTGGATTTTAAAAACCATCTATACACACAACTTTCTAGTACACTACATTATGTGAAAATAAAATAACTAACTACCTAATACTGAATAACAATCGTAGAGACACCTTAGTAAAAAAAAAAATGTGAAATATAAACACCTTTTTTTTCAAATAACATGATAAATAGCATACACCTAGCTCTAATAACTCACGCTCGAAAAAGAAGCATAATTATGACAATATGTATCGTAA